TAAGGAGATTGTTTTTATTGGTTGCACTTGAAATTAATTTTATTCAGTATATTACCCTCTTTCATTACACACCTAACAGATCTAGACTCATCATTTGCTCTGTGTTGTGCCCAGTGTGTTCACTGGGAATAGAATGTCTGAATATCTGTATCCAGTAAATGGAAAACCAGTTGTCATTAGAGCCTTGTTGCTACTCTTTAACATATGCATCATGGCACTACTCGGAGGCCCTGGCGAATGAAGCTCTGTTTAGCTTGGATCTGTGAGTATCTATATGAAAAGTGAGCATGTACTCTAAATAATCACTGGCAGATGAAATAAGTCTTTGCTAAATGTAGCTTGCCAGCAACGTAGTTTTTCTTCATCTAAGATGTGAGCCCTTGGATTTCTTCTGTCTCCAGTAATGTGCCATTACAGTGAGGCTTTTTTTTCTACTTTTGGTTGGCAGATTCCTGCTCTATGGCTTACTTCTAAGGAAGGTCAGTGAAAAGCAACCAGATAAACAAGCCTAACGTCAGTCTGTGGGTGTAAACTGATCACACAAAGATTAATATTTGCTTTAGACACAATAAAAAATAAAATAAAGAAAAAAATTTGAAAAAAAATGTGGAAAACCACTGATTTAAAGACTTGACACACAGTCTTTGTAGAAGTCATTGTTTTAAACTTTGAAATATTTTTTGTTGTCCCTGTCAAATAACCAAAGACAGAAAGTGATTTAGAGAACTGAACAAGGGTCCAGAGCAAAAACATCAAGTGAAAATGGTAGGCACAGCTAGGATCTGATTGTCTGGTTCTGTATGACAATGTATGAACTTGGGCTTACAGACGAGGTAATCAATTAAGAATCCACTGATTCTTTCCTAGGGCTCACTGAAACTTACCTGATGTCCAGAAGTCTGAAATCTGTGCTAGGCATATGTCTTTTCCTCAGCCTTCTTCCACAAGTAAACCTGCAAGCATGTAAATGGAAGCCTGTTTGCTGGGACAACAGATGAGACACAGTACCCGTTCAGCCACTTTTCACCTGGGGACTGCTTAGGGAGGAAGTCTGAAAAGTCAGGCAGAACACCCAATCCTTTTGAAAACCAGGCATGACAAGAGCTGGGATCTCTTTTTATCAAAGATTGCTGACAATATAGTTCAGGACAGGGAGGGAAGAAATAGTTAATTTTTCAAAAAATTTCCTATTTCTAATTGCAAATTCTAGACACATTTTAAAAATCTGAATGTTATTTTGAAAACTAGTTGAAAATGTTATATTAATGGCTAAGTTTTATACAGATATTTTCATACTATATCTTCATATATTCATAACTAGTTGGTGCTGTGTGCAATATTATTATTTATGTGGTAATAGGGCAGTTCAAAAATGGTTTCATTTTACTGGCATATCACTAAACACTCCTGCTATCTGGTACCAAAACAACTGCAATATTCATAAATCTCCTATTTGATTTGTCGTGAAAAAACATTGACAGCCTCAGCATTACAACACAAACAGGAAGCATTCTGTACTAAGAAAGACAGTTATATTAAGTGGATATTGTTATCTTTATCTGTCACTAATTTATCTGTAACAAATTGCTTTTAATAATTTTTTAAAGAACACTTTTAAAAAAGGTAAATAAAAAAGTGAAATTAAAAAAAAATCTTTCTCATCTCAATGAATTAGACTTTTTAAATGGCTATAATTTCTGCTTTTTCCTAAATTAAAAAAAAAAAAAACCTTAACTATTTCCAGTGAAATATATAGCTATGAAGAAAACAAAGACTTCCAGTAGCATGTTGCTGATCTTGTTACCAATTTTGTGTTTTGAGAATTTTTTGGTGGTACCATAAATAATAGCTTACATTCTAAATATTTCCTTTTTGAATTACACACCAGGCCAAATCCTGCTTTATTATGCATTAAGCACTTATACTAGCTCACAGGTATTTTGGGGATACTATCCATCATAAAACTGGGGCAGATTTTGCAGTCTCCTATCTATTTCATTCTACCTTCCCTTCCCGTTTTTTAACGACTTATATTAAAAGTGTCACCTTAGAAATGTCACAACATGATAAACTGTCACTTGACTTTTCACTTTTTTCACACCTAAATTACTGGACAAAGACTTTAGCAGTAGACCTCTGGTGAATTCCCTTCCAAAGCACCAATATGGATAAGTTCTATCATACTCCATGCCAGACAATTTGGGTAAGTTTTAGAAGAAGCTGAGAAGTTGTTTCTTGGTTTGGTTTCTATTACACTTCTATGCAGTATATAAGTTATTCATGTTATTTATTCTGGTGCTTTATTAAATCATTGCACTTTCCTGTTTTTTCTTGGTTGTTTGACCTTGTATGATATTTAGCACTCAAGAGTGGTGTGAGAAGGGACACATATCTTATTTTGTGTTTAGAAGGGGGAATTCTGCTTTGACTCTGTTGTGGCTGTTGACAAACACTGACAAGGGCAGCCCTGGCCAGTTAACCTTTTGCAAAGTTATGCCAAACCAATTACAGAAATCTGACATGAAGCACTCATCTTCAGCTTCCCAGTTGCCAAATACACATTTTTTTTTCCCACAGTATCTTCCTAAGCAAGCACATCAGTACAAGATACCTTGCATGCATACCTTGATATTTTTGCACACCTTTTCTGCTAATATTTCCTTCTCTCACCACCTACAACTGTTTCCCCAATGCCAACACATATTTTGCAAGATCTGTAAGATGGCTGAAAACCCCCCCAACCTCCAATTGCTATTTGCAATGTGATTAGACAGGTCAAGTTTAATTTCAGCACCGTGCATGAATCTGTTATCCAATCATCCTAATGATACACTACTCAAACCAGCAGTGGTGCTGAGGATGGAAAGAAAACCTTGATTTTAAGTTGTCTGCCAATGATTGCAGTTTTCATAACACTAACGCAATCATCCTTGGCTCCCTTTGCCAAAGGTAGGGAACATTCATATCTCTTCATGTCACTGGACCTGGAGCTGTGTGACAGATGAGTAAAGGTATGACAGAAAGAATGCAGCACTGCAAGAGGGACTGCTTTTCCTCAGCATTAAGGCAAAGGTATATGCTTAATAAAATCAGATTTAAGAATAATTTAAGAAATATTTTACTTTAAGAATACCATCTTTCCAAATACTTTAAGAAAATACCATCTTTCAGGTAGAAGATACAGCCCCTCCTCATCTGAATATTGCTCTCTAGGTTACATAATCCAGCCTACTGAATAAAGAAACCACCAGCAGCAGTCTCAGATAACTTGTTTTGGTTTGCCATTTCATCAGTAGATGCACGTGTTTGAGGCACTCCCATATTTAGTGGAATATGCCTCCTTGCAGGGACACAGCTTATTGGATGGCATACATGCCTTGCTGCACACCCTGCCAGGGCCTGAGCATCTCCCAGCAAACAGCCCTCCAGCCAGCAAGATGTGCTGCTTGATAAGGGAGGAATCACTGCCAGATCAAGACAGCTACTGTGAGATGCAGGAACAGGCTGAATCAGCACAGGCAGATCAAAACGTCAGCACAGCTGTCACCTCTGCATGCTAAAGTTTCTTGCAGGGAAGTGAAACAGCTAGAGAAGGGAACTCTTTGCCTCTAGTTTTCATAATGTCACTCCAGAGCTGCTCTGTATGCATGCTTTGCCTCTGTGAGACTCTTTGGAATGTCTATTATCCATGGGAAAAAACCCTTTCCCAATACAGACTATAAGCAGAGGCACCAGAGTCAAGCAGGAGCATTGGAACACTTGTGCTACAGTAAACTAGAGCCTCTATGTGTAGCTGTCCTGTGACAGCACCTCCCATTCCCATTTCCAGAATACCTCCTGGTCCTTAAATGTGCCAAACACAAAATTTGGCACTAAGAGCTGACTTCTGCGAAAACATAAATTGACAGATTACCTTCTTTTTTAAGAAGCCCCACTTATTCAATTTTCCCCAGAGCCAAGCATGGTGTGCAGTCATGCAAGAATAAAATACACTCTCTTTAAAATCACTTTTCATTTCTGTGCTGGGGTTGTCCTGGCAATATAACCTCTGAGCTGCTGGCAATATGGTCTTTTGCCCACCCAGGCTCTACCCACAGCAAACCACATGGGCCACATTTATGAGAAAAGCTCAGCCCTCAAATACAGAGGAGAGGAATCAGACAACTGCTGACGCCAGGCAAGGACCTGCCAGGGGTCCCTCCATGAACTTGAGCAAAATCACAGAATTATAGAATTGTAAAGGTTGGAAAAGACCACTAAGATCACGGAACTCATCTGTTATCACCCCAGTGGTAAAACAGGCCCCAGTACCCTATATCAGACACCTGAGCAAACCTAATCATTTCATAATACTGATTCTGTAGTTTCAATTATTTCATAGTCATAGAATGCTTTGGGTTGGAAGGGACCTTGAAGATCATCTAGCTCCAACCCCTCTGCCATGGGCAGGGACACCTTTCACTAGACCAGGTTGCTCAGAACCCCATCCAACCTGGCCTTGAGCACTTTCAGGAATGGGGCATCCACATCTTCTCTGGCCAGCCTGTGCCAGTGCTTCCCCATCCTCAGAACACATTTTCTTCCTAATAACCAATCTAAAACCACCATCCTTCAGTTTAAAGCCATTCCCATTCCCCCTTGTTCTATCACTACATGCTGTTGTCAAAAGTCCCTATCCAGCTTTTTTGGAGGCCCCATTAGGTACTAAAGGTGCTATAAAGGTATTATAAAGGAAGATGCTGTTAAGTCTCCTTGAAGCCTTCTCCTTCCCAGGCTGAACAACCAACTCTCTCAGCCTTTCCTCACAGGAAAAGTGAGGAAAGCCAGCAGCCCTCTGATCATCTTCCTGGTTCCCCTTTAACTCCTTTGAACAGGTCCACGTCCTTCTCAGCCCATCCTCAGCACTCCCAGCTATTAATATTTAACAACTTACTCTCCCTACAATATTTACCTAAAACGATGTGGCAAAAACTGACTGGAAAAAATTAAAAGAAAAAAAAAAAGAGAAAAAAAAAAACAAAGAAAACAAAACAAAGACATCCCGATTTCTGAGCCTGTAACCTCTTTTCAGTGATGGGGTGCGGGGGGGGATAACCCACACCATCTCAGAGAGCTGGAGAAATGTTCTGCCCATTCCTCAGCCTCACCCTGCTTCCCCCTGACAACAAACACCTCCTCAGCACGTCAAGATTCCCGCAAAAACACCCCGCGTGAGAACTGCTCTGGTGCGTACTTGAAATCGTTGGCAACGAAGGGGTGTTGGGTGCAAGAGGTACGCTCGGGGCAGTGAGGGGTGCCTGGGGCGAGGATGGGTGCTTGGGGCAAGGAACCTGAAGCGGAGCTTTCTCCTCAGGACTGAGGGCAAGGAAAGAGCTTTCTTTAACAGGGAGGGAGGTATTATGTTATTACAGTAAGGGACGGAGCCTGCCCGTCCTTCCCGGCCCCTCAGGCGGCGGAGGCGCGGCCGCCGGGCTCCCCCTGGAGGTGGCGGGGGGCGGCGGCGGCGGGCAGCGCTGGGCTGCGGCGGCGGGGCCGCGGCCCTCCCTCGCTTGGCAGCTGGAGTAGTAGTAATGCTAATGATAAAAATTAAAACAACGAAGCCGTTGTTGTTGCTGCTGTTGTTGTTGTTGTTAGTTTAGGGAATTCACCAGCAATCGTTGCGTGGACAGCCCCCCTTTAAAGAAGGCTCCGGAATAGGAGCCAGCCGGGCAGGGCCCGTTGTCTCCCGGCACGGCTTTCCCAAGGAGAGCGGATCCATGCCGTCCTCCTGCAGGCAAAGTTGGATCTGCATGGCACTTGCGTGCCTGCGAACTGCAGGATTGCGGGATCGGGGATCTGCGGCCACGCTGCTGTTGAAGGTAATGGACGGGAAGGGCCAATCTTCTGGTGTGCGTGCCGTGGTGACGCGTCCAGCACTGGAAGCGTTGTCACTGCCCCTCCAGGGTCACCTCAGCCAGCACTCTGCAAAGGAGATGTGTGCTGCGACGGAAAAAAAAGATCTGCAATCCCTTGTTCGTGTGTTAAACGCCATCATGGAGTGGCTAACCATAGGAATAGGTCGCAGCTAGACACATTGGTGGGTGGTGAAAAACTAAAAAGAGTCTAGGCTTCATCTTCTGCATTATAAATAAATGAGGAGGAAAACTTTGATTCATCAGCACAGGCTAATGATGAGGGTTTAGGCTGTCATAAGCCTCTACAGTTTGCTCCAGTCCCACAGAAGTGGGACCTCCAAACATACCTCAGAGGTTTCTGATTGATGAATTTCTGGTTATTTAGTGAAGCCCTGGCTACTCAGGCCGTGAAAAGTGGGCACTAGGTCTGGAGTTAACATGTCGAGGGAGTCTAAGAGCAGTGAAACCTGTACCCCCTGCTTTTTCTCATGCTTTGGTGCTACCAAATCCTGCTCAGAGCAATGTCTGTGTTGCCTCAGTCTTCAAATCCTATTACAGGTGATTAAAATAATCTAGAGTTAACAAATTCCCAAATCACCCTACCCAAGTCCTTGTATGAAAGAAAGGGCATAATTTCCGACAGACTGGATGTGGAAAAATTAATTTCCTGGCATCCAAACATAAGAACAGCCATGCTGGTTAAGACAAGTCCATCCAGCCCAATAGACTGTCTCAAATATAAACAACAGCTGATGCCTGGGGAATGGCATAAGAGAGGGGTAAGCACACAATGATAGTTCCCTGGCATGCTGTCCCAAACTCCAGCAAGCTGTGGCTCAGGGACTTCCCTGAGACAGATGTGGTATCTTTAAATTTAATAGCCCTTGATGGATTTTTGCTTCCATGAATTTGTGTAATTGCTTTTTGAACCCATATCAATTTTTGACATTGCAGCATCCTGTGACAATTAGTGACACACTCCAACAAAGCAGGGTTTAAAGAAGAGCCCTTATTTTGTTTGTTTTGAACAGGCCTCCTAATAATTTCATCTGATGCTTCTAGTTCTTGTGGTATGAGAGTCAATTACAATCATTCTCTATTTGCCTTCTCGGTGCCATTCATGATTTTACAGATTTCTCTCATGTCCTCCCTCACATTTTGATTTTTCAGATATGTATTCTTCATCTACTGTGAAATCCCAGTACAGAAGCCATGTCAAAGCCTGGACCTTCCTCTGGCCCTAGTGTTACTGTTTTGGAACTAGCAGGCTTGAACAGCACCGTTTTCAGGGTGTAGACACATCAGATGTATTTATATCAGAATGCAGAAGTGTTTTTAGGTTTGTTTCTTCCATACTAAATTTAAAATTTTATTTACTTTTTGAACACTGCTGAGAATGGATCTGGCATTTTCATAAATATGTCTAGATTTCACAGCTCTTCAAGGATTTCTTCTCTGAGAGCTAACAGTGAGTGCAGCACCCTCAGCTCTGTATGTAAAGTCTGCTTTGCCCACTGGCATTACAGTACACATATCTATGTGTACTATGTGCTGCCTTTTCTCTGTTTTATCACCCGATTACTCAATATCATGAGATGATGTTTTTGTCATGTGTCTTGTTTCTGCTACCATAAATAACGTTGTGTCACCCACAAGTTTGCCACCTTGCTGTTCGACCCCTTTCTAGCGTATGAGACTGGCAGATGGGTTTGATACTTGCTTAAGATCCTGATGATATTAGAAGGGTGCTGGAGGAGGAAGTAGTGGGCAACTATTTCTCCTCTTTCCATCAGCACAGCTTGCATCTCACCTAGATTCAGATTGAGCCAGCTGCTCCTCAGGGAGGTGCTGGCAGGCTCTTTTTGACCCTGCAGCACATTTGGAGGGATGCTGGTGCAGGCTGTCCGTCGTGCACAGGGCCAGCTGTTCAGCTGACACAACCGATTTAACGGCTGGAGACGAGGAGCCAGCCATCACGGCCATGGGGACAGCTGACATGGAGGTGGGGTGGCCTCAGCTGGACACAGTGATGGAGACAGGTGGGGTGGTCTGAACAGAGTCCATGGGGCAGTGCTGGGTTGAGGGTGAACCTGCAGAAGCAGCGCCCATTCTTTGCCCACCTTGTGGTGGTGTCATCGTTGTTCCCTCCACACAAGCTGACAGGTATGTTTGTTATTAATAACAAGCAGGACTTTCAGAGGCAGGCCCCTGCTTCCTCACTGCTTGTCGGTGCTGAGCACGGCCGGTCAGAGCATGCTGTGAGCGCTGCTCACACAGCCAGAGCTGTCCCCGGTGTGTCCCATTCCAGCGTGTCAGCCAAGCGTTTAAGACACCTGCTTCTTTTCGCTCCTGTGCTGGCCGCAGACTAATAGGGACAAACGGGAAGAGGACCTAGCAGAATGCAGAAAATAATCGTCCTGTGCCAAAAGGGAATGTATGATCAAAACTACAATGGGCAGGCAAGCAGCGAGGCAGTGACCCGAGGCAGCGCAATGTGTCAGGAAGAGAGAGCAGCAGCCCAGGGACAGCAACAGCCCAGAGCCTCAATTTGTAATGACTGTGTGGACCACATGCCAAAAAGTCTCTCCCCTCCTTGCTCCAGAGAGCTCTCCTAATGCTCTTAGCCACTTGGACATCACAAGAGAAAGAGCCTGCATGTTTCCAGCACACAACCAAAGGCATTTGCTTAAGCAAAGCGCTGCTGTGTTTCAGCACTGCCGAACCTGCCTCTGACTCGGAGTGCTCCAAACACCTGTGAGTCAGACGATGGGAAATTCTCCCTGTCTTCACAAGCACAGATGAGTTTGAACCTTCTGGGCATTTTAGCAGTTTACCATCTGCACATATAACCTTTTTTCTGAGCACACTGAAGTCTTGTAGGAGGATGTTAAATCCAGGAACCAAAATAAGGAAACATGTTTACACCTGCTACATCTGTTCAAGAATTTCCAGCCTCTATTACACTTTTGACTTTCACATTCCCCCTCCTCCTCCTTCCTGTTTGGTCAAATGCCACCATGTTAAAAACAATCCTGTATTTTTCCCCCTAAGTCTCACAGACTTTCTATCAAATCTTGTGAAAACTTACAGCATATGAAAGAAGCTGTGAAATGGTCTAGCAACAGAAGCAAGTGCTGGCTGCAGTCTCTCTTCCTTATCCAGGATTTTCAGATACTGGGATTCACTGTGAACAAAAATGACATTAACTACATGAAATATGGTGATTTTGGTTTTTTTTTAAACTAGAATGAAAAATGAAGAGTCAAATTGTTTCTGATATGGATTAAATCTTTCAGGAAACCAGGTACAATAAAAAAAATTTAAAAAATAGATTGTGAGAAGTATTATAGCACACCAAAACGGCAGCACAAAGAAGATCTCTCTTAGCAGATGCCCCAGTCAGTTATAACTGGTTTGCTGTAGAAGACAAAACATATTAATATCTCCTGTCAGACATGATCTGTTTCACTAAAAGAATTACCTGTATAATTGCACCTACTGCCAACTCAGACCCATAGATATGAAACATTTATAAAAAGGAAAAAGATATCCCACTTGTTGGGGGATGATAGCAAAATAATTCTACTGAGCAGCATTCAAAGTAGATTTATTTTCATAATTTTCACCAAATTTTATGTTAAGGTTTTTATGGGAAATATTATAAACTATTTTTAAGTGAAGCAAGTACTTTGGATAAAATTAATTCAAGAGTGTCCAGTAGCATTTTTATAATATTTCAAATTAAGGTATTGATAAAGAGGTTGAAAAATATAGCAAGAGATACAAAAATTATTGGATAAGTTCAGATATTTTTCTCTGAGTAATCTGGTTTTTTCTAATGAATTTTCTCCTGGAAGATTTACATTGGATTTGTGAATATGTGAGCTGGATTATTAATAATATGGGCAACGTGGTGGTACTGGAAAAAATCCTCTTCTCCCTGTCATTTCCTAATAAAGCCCAGTTAATGGAAGGCAAATATTTTCACGGGTCAACAGGTAACTAAAGAGAGTGGTGTTTAGTGATTGTGGCATTTGGTGTTATGATAGGGGCCTCTGTTTCTTTGACTTGCTGTGGGATGCTTGTACAAAGCATGTTTCCTAAAGCAGTAAGAGAAATTAACAATATTAAGGTCAATACGGGACATATTTGGGAAGGTTTGAGGCAAGTCCTGTGGTCCTAACTCAGGCAAATTCTCACTGACAGGTCTTGGCCAATACAATCTGCAGGTGTCCACTTTCTTTCAGCATTTAGCCCAGTATTCAACCAGAAGAAAGCAGTTCAGTAATTCATTAGGATATGATCATGCCGGGCTGGTTTCTAATTGTTCAAAATACCATTGGAGGCACTCCAGGATGCTGCACAGCACTCCACAGCTGGCAGCCATGGTACACAGGCGGGTATGCCACCCAAATAGAGCTGAATAGCATGAGAGCCACAGGAGGAGAGCAAAAATCCCTTGCTTCCAAGCCCATGGGAACCTTCCTGTGTTGTGAGGAGGGAGCTGCAGGTGCAGGGAGCTGTAGGCAGGATGAGTGCAATGCGCAACCCCACTGCCTCATGCCAAAGAGAAATGTTAGCGGCAAAATAATTTTACTCCTGGCTGTCAAATGGGAGCTGCGGGGTTCCTCTCCTAACAATGAAAGGCAGACTACTGTGCATTAACAGCCCTGCCGGTGCACAAAGTGGCCTAGCCTGTTATTAAACTGTACAGCTAAAGCTGTTGTTCTCCACTTAGCTGAAAGTGAGTTACCATATTGCAGGTCCCCCAAGACGTTCCCTACCCTTGACATATCCTCTCCCTCGCATGAGTGGTAATGACTGGGATCAGATCCCTTAGGCTCCTGCCTGCACTGTTTTACCTTGCTTTAGAGCAGCGTTTTTGAATAACAGAGATCTGGTCTGTCCCCTCTCCTCTTGTCTGCTCTCCCCCCTCAACTCCCCTCTTTACCCCAGCCTTTATT